TTAATTTTTGTATATGGCATGAAGCAGAGGTCCAACTTCATTCTTTTACATGAAGAAATCCAGTTGTTCCAGCACCATTTGTTTAAGAACTTACTCTTTCCCCATTGAATGGACTTGGCAGCCTTGTTGAAAATCAATTGACTGTAGACCTATGGGTTTATTTTGATTCCATGTGTCTAGATGTCCATTCTCATGGCAGTACCACACTCTTTTGATTACTGTAGGTTTGTAGTAAGTTTTGAAATTGGAAACTGAGAGTCCTCCAAGTTTGTTTTTCTTTTTCAAGTTGTTTTGGCTACTTGGGGGGCCTCTTGAAATTCTATAAGAATTTGAGGATCGGCTTTTCTATTTCTGCCCCCAAAAAAGGCTGTTGGAATTTTGATAGGGATTGTGTTGAATCTGAGGATCCCTTTGGATAGTATTGACATTTTAACAATGTTAAGTCTTCCTACCTATGAATACAATGTCTTTCACCTCCTTGGTTAAATTTATTACTAAGTATTTTATTCTTTCAGATGCTTTTGGAAATGAAATTGCTTTCTTAATTTCCTTTTCAGATTGTTCATTGCTGGTGTGTAAAAACACAGATTTTTGTGTGTTGATCTTGTAACCCACAACTTTGCTGAATTTGTTTATTAGCTCTAGTACCTTTCTTGGGGATTATTTCTTATTTTCTATACACAGAATCATGCCATCTGTGAATAGAAACAACTTTATTCCTTCCTTTCCAGTTTGGATGCCTTTTCTTTCTTTTGCAGGGTAACTGCTCTTTTTCTTGTCTAATTGGATTCCTTTTATTTGTTTTTCTTATCTAATTTTCTTGTCTAGAACTTCCAGTACAATGCTGAATAGCAGTGGTGAAAATAGTCATCCTGTTTTGCTCCTGACCTTAGGGAGAAAGCTTTCAGTATTTCACCATTGAGTTTGATCTTAGTTGTGGGTTTTTCATGAATGCCATTTATCATGTTGAATAAGTTCCCTTTTATTCCTTGCTTTCAGAGTAGTATTTTTTCTTGTTGTTCTTGTTTTTTTGTTTGTTTGTTTGTTTTGTTTTTAATCACGAAAGCTGTTGGATTTTGTCAAATGTCTTTTCTGAGACAACTGAGATGACCGTGTTTTTCTCCCTTCATGCTATTAATGTGGTATATTACATTGATTGATTTTCTTATCTTTACCCTTGCATACCTGGGATAAATCCCACTTGGTCACACTGCATAATTCTTTTAATGTGCTATTGTCTTTGGTTTGCTAGTATCTTGTTGAGGATTTTTACATCTATACTCACAAGGTATATTGTCCTGTAATTTTCTTTTCTTGTGATATATTTATCTGGCTTTGGTATCAAGATAATGCTTGCTTCAGAGAATAAGTTTGGAAGTGACTTCATTCCTTTTTATGGCTGAATCACATCCTTTTGTATGGATATACTACATTTTGTTTATTCATTCATTGGTTGACCAATATTTGGGTGGCTTCTTCCTTTTAACTATGATGAATAATTCTGCTATAAACATTTATGTAGAAATTCTTGTGTGGACATATGGTTTTGTTTCTTTGGGGTGTATACCTAGGAGTGGAATTGTTGGGTCATATCGTAACTGGATGTTTAACCATTTGAAGGCCTGCCCAACTGTTTCCCAAAGCAGCTGCGTTATTTTACATTCCCCCAGCAATGTATGAGGGTTCCAATTTCTCCACATCCTGCCAACGTTTATTATTGGACTTTTAAATTTTAGCCATCCTAGTAAATGTGTAGTGATATCTCATTGTGGTTTTGATTTGTATTTCCTTGATGGCTAATGAGGTTGAGCATTTTTTCATGTCCTTATTAGAATTTTGTGCATCTTATTTGGAGAAATGCTCATTCAGATCCTTTACCTATTTCTAAGTTGGAGTTTTAAAAATTTATAATTTAGTGGTGAGAGCATTCTATATATTTGTAATATAGAATATTATCTTCTATGGGCCCACACCAGCAACCCTCCTCCAAGCAAGCACTGCCCTAGGGTTCCTGGACCCTACTTTTTATGGCAGGCTTTTGCAGAGGCCTGCAGTGCCTCAGGAGGTGTAAAAATACCCTCCAGCATTCCCCATGTGATCAGGCAGAGGCTGAGCCTTGATCTGAAATTGTACATTGGTTTCCTTCCCTTCTCTGTCCTGTTTCCCCTTCCTGTGGTTTCTCTCATGATCTCCTGCAAATCACCTGTACCTGAATCCTTGTTGCCAGGTGTGCTTCTAGGGGAACTTGAAAGTGCTTGGAATGGCTGAGGAACTAAAAGGAAGTCAGTGTTGTTGGAACTCAGAGAACATGGAGACTGGGGAGTAAGGTGAGGCTAGAGTGGTGGGCAGAGGCCTGACCCCACAGAGCTTTGTAGATTACAGTGATGGGCAGGATGGGGGTTATCTGGAGAGTCATGGGATGCCACTGGGCTCTGTTAAGCAGGGACTGGCATTATTTTACATTTTGCAAAGGTCCCTCTAGCCTCTCTGTGGAGGATGGATAAAAGGGCCCAAGTGGCTGCAGGAGGACCACTGAGGATACTGTTACAACTGTCCGGGGGAGAGAGGATGGAGACTGGGATGAGGATGGGAAGGTGGAGGGAGAAAGAAGAAGATTAGAGAGAGATGAGGGGGGTGGATCTGGGGGCTCTGGGGAAGTTCAAGGACATCTTGCAGGTTTTCAGCCTGGGTGCCTGGATGCATGGTCAGTACACAGAGAGGGAGGCAGGCTTCGGAGGGCAGATCAGGAGTTCCACTGGCCAGACGACACCCGTTTGCCATCCCTGGTCTTGCCCAATCCCCCCACTTCACAGATGGAGAAAATGAGGCCTGAGGAAGTGCGGTGATTCACCCAGGTCCCTGTCATGCCCCAGACTGAAGGGGATGGGATCCAAGGATCCTGCCGCCCAGCCAGAGGGCTTGTTTATTCTCCGGGAGGCCCACTGGCTCTGGCCTCAGACAGCTATTTTGCAGCTGGGAGCGGGTGGGGTTTAGGGCCTGATGGGTTTGTCCTGGGCTGGAAGCCAGCTCACAGCTCGCAGAGAACAGAACATCTCTGTTTCAGGAGGGCAGCCTGTACTGCCTGCTACCCTGTCAGGGTCTGATGTGGGTAACTTGAAGGCATGAGGGTGTGGGGTGCTCACCTCAGAGTGGCTGACATTTGCTCTCCTGTATTAGGCATGGACAAGAACTAGGTCCAGATTCTGAGGTTTTCCCTTCTCTAGTCCTTCCTTTCCTTGCTGTGTGGCCTTGGGCCAGTCACCTCCCCTCTCCAGTCCTCAGTCTTCTCATCTGTAAAATGGAGACATCCTACAGTGTAACTTTTGTGCCCTCAGGGTTGTAGGGAATATTGGATGAAGAAATGGATGGACAAAAAATACACCGTAAACTGTAAAGTGCCTAAACTACAATTTGGGTTCAGTCCTACCACTGCCCCAGTGGGTTTCTCAGACTTTACAAGATGGCCACCCCTTTGGAGAGGAAGAGGCCTGGTGTGGAGCTCAGAGATCCCAGGATCTTATTATCCTGGCCCAGCAGGCTTGACAAACCCATTGGACAGATGGGAAAACTGAGAGGCTGCCATCTGCTCAGAGTCACCAGGCTGTTAAGCCCAGATTCAAAGGCTGGGCTCTCTGATTACAAAGACAAGAAAGATCCTTATCCATTCAATGACCTGATTGTACAGATAGGGTAAACCAAGGGCCGGAAAGGGGAAGCAACCTGCCCAGGGTCACACAGGCAGCTGGCAGCAGGGCGGAAGTGTCAGGTGAGGTCCCTGACTCCCAGGCCATGCTCCTCCTATCACCTCTTGCCCACCAACCCCTGGAGCTTGAAAAGCAGTTTCCTCCTCAGTAAAATGGGGTGAAACTAGTATTGGCGTCATTGGATTGTTGTGAACATTTCAGCAAGCCCTGCAAAGCTGTTAAAGGGCTTAGCACCAAGTCAGGCACAAAGAAAATGCAGAATAAATGTTGGCTAGTAGTATTATTATTCATTATTATATTTCATTTCTGCATCCCCTTCTCCCCTTTGGGCTGCTGTGAGTAGACAAATTATGGGCGTTCGGCTCTTCCTGGAGACAGAGGGATGTACAAGATGGCTTTGGGGGCCCCTCCCTCCCAAGGATTCTTGGATTATGCATACCCCTCCTCAGTCCCCCTGAGCACTAGCCGTAACTGTAGTCTCTCAGAAGTCAGTTTTCATCCTTGCACCCCGGGTACCCTGGCTCCCTGCCTGTGGTCCCTACTGGCTGGATGCTGTTGCTATGGCAACAGGATTTTAAGAGCCTTCGGCCCCCCTCTGAGGCAACAGGCCTGGATGGAGATGGACTGATCAAATGCCTCCTGCATCCTCAGGCCTGTCTGGACAGAAGGCAGGAGACTGGAATGCAAGAATCAGAGCTGGCTTGGGGTGGGGGTTGGGGGCGGCTCAGGCCTTAGCCCCAAGGGTTTCCCAACAGCACCCCACCTCACTGTGTTGCATGAGCACTTGGTTACACGTGCAGACTCCAGCCACCACTGCCCCAAGGGTCTGGTTTTAACTATCTGGGGTGGGATCCCCTAAGACGCTGCCTTTGATCAGCTCTGCTCGTGGTTCTGAGGCAGACAGGCCCCAGACCACTCTTGATGAAATCTTGAGTCCTGGAAGATTCCCAAAGGCATTTTGGGCATTGAGGTTTGTGTGGCTCTCTCTGCTGAGATTACTCTTTTATTAAATAATTTTTTTAAAATTTACTTATTTATTTTTGGCTGCGTTGGGTCTTCATTGCTGCATGCGGGCTTTCTCTAGTTGCAGCGAGCGGGGGCTACTCTTCGTTGCAGTGCGCGGGTTTCTCATTGCGGTGGCCTCTCTTGTGGCGGAGCACGGCCTCTAGGCGCGTGGGCTTCAGTAGTTGTGGCGCGTGGGCTCAGTGGTTGTGGCACACAGGCTTAGCTGCTCCGCAGCATGTGGGATCTTCCCTGACCAGGGCTTGAACCCATGTCCCCTGCACTGGCAGGCGGATGCTTAACCACTGCGCCACCAGGGAAGCCCGAGATTACCCTTGAGAAACCCTGTTTGTCCTCCCAGGCCCGCTCCGGTCCTGCTTCCCTCTCCTTCCACAGCCTCATCTTGTGGGAGGATGTACACCCTACCCTCTTCCTGGAGCCAGGAAAATTCCAGAGCTGGGCTACCAGAGGCCATCTTGGTGATGCACGCTAGGGCAGAGATGGGCGCACATTCTCAGGATAATGACATTCAGGGGAGGCGCTAGCCATGGTCACTCTGGGCTGTCTTCTAGATGCTCTATCTGAAATCAGAGCATCTCAAGCCTCTTCCCACTGTCCTCCCGCACCACCTGCTGGATGGGGACAAGGCTCCCTACCCTCCAGCCCCAACCATAGCAGAACCCGGTGACGCCAGGCACCAGAGGCTGTGCCTAAAGAGAGGTCGGGCTTCGGGGTGGGTCTGAGGAGCTGTGGTGGGGAGGGGAAGAAGGCAGAGATCATGGGAGAGGGAGGTGGTCCTCTCTGGGGTTCCTTGAACTTGAAACTGATGCTCATGTCTGTTGGAGAAGCCAAGTGACAGAGCAGAGGTGCAGCAGACAGTCCCCCCCCTTACCCCTTCCTTGCACACTGACTGGCCTCCAGCAGGTGATTCTCTTTGTCCGAGGCCAGTGGCGTCAGTGGATAAATTACATGTGGTAATTCACTTGACAGCACCCCCTTTATTCCGTTCCCAGACTCGCTCCCCTGCTCCTCCGCCAAATAAATGCGCACTCGAATCCTTGTGTGGTCTGTTTCGTAGGACCCTAAGACAAGAAGCCACTCCCCCAATCTCCCCACCCTGGGTTCTGTTATGAGGGCAACTTTGCCCCTTGTGCCCCAAGGGGAAGTTTACATACCCCTGAACCCCAGGTGGGGTTCTGCCTAAGTCGGAGATCTCTGGAAGGATCTGTACCAACAGCTCTTTCCACGATGAGACTCCAGGGTTTTGGAGCCAATCTCATGCTCTTCCGCGTCCTGCCCTGCCCTCCACTCTCACTATTCTGAATGTGTACGAGTCGCGTCTTCCCAGAGCTTCCTGGGGCCGGGAGCAGGCGTGATTTCTTGTCTACCGAGCACGGGCCAAACTCAGTAGCCACATCCTGACGGATGGTCCAGGGCTCCCTAGCTCTGTCTTTAGCTGGGCCCCACCCGAACCATACCCATCCCTGCCGGAGCCTGGTGTGATTGACGGGAACTCCCAGCTAGAGGGATGCAGGGGGACTTGTGTGGGGTGAGTCCTCCAGAGACGTCTGTGAGTCTGTCCCCTCCGAGGAGAAGCTGCCCCCAGTGGGCCGGGGGATCTGACTCTGCCTGGGGAGCCGCTGCCAGGAGAGGAAGGTGGTGAGAAAACGCTCAGGGGCAGGATCCAGGGGCCCATGCGGGCTTCTGCCGTCATCAGCTTCAACAGACTGCCCAGCTTCCTGGGGTGGAGGGGCTGCTTGGAAATTTCTGTTCTGTATACGTCTGGGGGCCCAAGGAGGCCAACAGGATTTTGGCGAACGATCCAGACCCAGTGAGTCCTGGAGGGGCAGGTCCCATCTTCCCTTGTAAGTGACTTCTCCATTCAGGCCCTGGCCCTTGGCGGCCGCCCCTCTGAGTTCCAGGCCCGCCAGGTGGGAAGGGGGACCTGCCGGGCATGGACAGTGGGCCAGTGCCTTCTTCAGGAGGGTTTGGATCTCCTCGTGCCTCTCCTGGGCCTCCTCCCACAGGTCCTGGCCCAGGCCCTCCCAGCCTAGAGAGGCCACCTGCAGCCGCATGGCCGTGAGCTTCTCGGCAGGGAACTCGGACGCCAGGCGCTGCAGGTAGCGGTGGAGGCGGCGCTGGTCCCCAGGGCCGGCCCTTTGGCCCTTGCCCAGCCTGAGTTGGGCCATCAGGTCCTGGCAGTCCATGTGGAACCAGGTCATCTGGGAGACAAGAAGAGAGGGAGATGGGGGTTCCGTGAGGACAGGGATAGGCCTCTCTGAGCCAAGAGGAGGCTTAAAGAACAAATACAGCTAGACTGAATTAATACAAAAATGTCCAATCAGTGTTAGGGCCTCTCTTAGCACAGCTGTGGTTTTCTCCACTGCTGATGACGACAATACTTCCCTTTCTTCCCCAGGGAACACCACCCTCCGTTACCCACCAGGAAACAGTCCCCAGCACCCTTGGGATCTTCAGGCACAGTCTTACAGACTTAGGGGCCAGCAAGGACTCACCCCTCTCTGGGTCTCAGTTTCCCCCTCAGTAAAGTAGAGGTTGTGATACATAATCACGAAAATTTGAGTGCTGAAAATTTGGATTCTCAGATTGTATGAACCCCTCATAAGTGGTGCTGAGGGAGGAGTCTGGCTAATATTTATTGAACACTGACTGTTTGCCAGGCTCTGTGCATCTCATGTAGGATCACACTGAACCAGCAGCCCATTTTACAGAGGAGGAAACTGAGGCTCACACACGTGAAATCACTTGTCCCAGGTCACGCTGCAAGTCAGGGAGGAGCTGGGATTCAAACTCAGCCCTGTCCAGCCCTCAAGAGGGTATATTCCAAGCACCTCCTTGCACAGGAGAAACTGGCCCAGGCAGGGCCCTGCCCTTGCAGTCACACAGTGAGACTGTCAGCCAGCCCAGGCCCGGAGGCCCCCTCGCTCTGGCCGGGCCTCTGCTGCATTTTAGGATCCTACCTGTACCCACTTCACCCACAAAATGTCTACAGGTTGCAAAGGAGCCAACATGTTCCCAGCAGCTCGTGAAAAACATAATCTTTCTCTCCATTAATTTAGAAGCCAACAGCAAGCTGTTAGGCAGTGGGGATTGGAGAACAATTTTCTCCGAGGAAACCATCTTTCCGCGGATTAAGGGAACTTGTCTTTAGATAAATGGCTTCATATTTGCAGAAGCACATTGAGCTCATGGCTGGGAAAGGGCTCCATAAATCTCCGTTAGCGACACAATCATGTTATTATTATTTAGTGCTAAAGCTGCCGCATGCCTGCTCTCCACCTGGGGCTGAGCCCAGCACTGAGCCGTCCTGTCTGTCTGTCTGGGACCAGATATTCCAGGCCAAGCTGGACAGAGGTGGAGAACACCTCAGAAATCATCTTGCCCCACCCCTTGCTGTGCGGATTAAAATTCAGGGCCAGAGAGGAGAAGGTGCTGTCGAGGGGAAGAGCTTTCCAGGCTAAGGGAACAGCCAGTGCAAAGGCCTCAGTGCTGGAGCCAGTTTGCTTTCTCCAAGGAAGGCCGATGGGGCTGAAATCAGCTAAAATTAGTAAACAAGGGAGAGAAGCTTCCAGATCCCCTTAATCCATGAGGCATTACTCCTCCTACCACTACTGCTAATGACATTAGCAGTACATCCGTGTTAAAAACAATAATTTAACATCGGTGTTAAAAATAATAATTCCAGATTTGAGCAAAGTCGGGTGTAGGGGCAGGGGGAGGGGTTACTTACATTTAATTTAATTCTCACTTCTCTGCACGAGAGCCAGATGACCTGGGTTCGAATCTCAACTATGCCACTTCCTAGCTGTGTGACCCTGGGTCAGTGACTTGATTTCTCTGGGTTTCCTGCCTCACAGGGTTGGTGTGACCATAATACCATATGTGAAATGACTAGAACAGGGCCTGCAGACAATAAGAACTCCGTACCTAAGCATTGGTTATTATTATTATCATCATTATTCTTGACAACGAGCTGAGGCCCAGAGCAGTGAAGGCCACTGTTGAGGTCACAGAGCCCATGCAGGCATATCCCTGACTCTAAGTCTCAGATCCTCCTGCTGTCTCGCTCTCTAACTTCTGAACAGCTGGGCACGGGGGATCCCTTCGCTGCCTCTGCCCACATCTACCTCCCTTGCCTGAGGGAGACAGTGGCCTGTCCTCCCAGTGCCCCAGGTGTGAGTTGACTGAGTCCCTCCCGCTGCCCCCGAAGCATCTGTGTTCTTGGTGCCCTATGTGCTGGGCTGGCCTGACAGCTGGGAGGCTGGGGTCAGGCTCTTCCCATGCCCCATCGTCAGTGGCCAGTGCGAGGGGCAGCTGAGGGCACTGGGCCCAGGCCAGAGGTCTGGGTTCTTGTCTCATCTGGGTTACAGCTCTCTCAGGCTGCTCCCTTGCTCCCCCTAGGCCTCAGTTTCCCCATCAGAAAAACGAGGGATTTGGCTAAATGGATTTAAGAAGGGCGGGGGCTCTGAAGTCAAATCCTGCTTGACCAACCGGGCTAGGGGATGCTGAGAAAGCCACTTTCCTCTTTGGACCTTAGTTTCCTCATCTGTAAAATGGAAACAAGGTTGGTGCCCCTCCCTCACAAAGATATGATGAGAATTAAATCGGGCAAGGTATGCAAAGTGCTTTTAGGAGGGTCTGGCGTGGTGAACACAGTCAATAATGTGGGCTACCCCATAATAGTCATCTAACCCTCATCACCATCGTCATCACGTCTGCTTGGACACAAGAACTGTTTGTCATTTCCCTCTCCTTTGCAGAAGAACATAGCACATGGACACATCTGGGTTCAAATTCCAGCTCTTCTTTTCTCTAGCTGTGTGGCCTTGGGCAAGGTGCTGCCCCTCTCTGGGCCCTCAGTTTCCTCATCTGTACAATGGAGCTGGTCAACCTTGCCACATTGGGTTCCAAGAGATGACAGATGCAAAGTAATGGAGTTATTCTTGCTTCCTAACTCACCTCTGCCCAGGCCCCCGACCCTTGCCCCAGTAGCCCTACCCCCTCCTCCTCCCTCCTGGCCAAACGCTGGGTTCCTGGTGAGGACTGAGGCCTCTGTTCTGAGGATGCTCAGAGCAGCCTCTGGGCCCACCCTCAGCCAACTGTCCCTTCCTTCCTTCCTTCCCCAGCTGTCCCCTCCAACCCATATGTGCAGGGCAAGGTGGGGCATGGGAAAGAGCACAAAAATGGTGCCATGGCTTGCTGTGTGACCTTGGCTAAGTGATGGCACTTCTCTGATCCTGTTTCCCTAACACTGTAATAGAGGGGTGGGATGAGATCAAGGTTCTGAGCCTGGTCCTGACCCTGTGAAGTTGCCTGCAGAGGTCTATGTGTGGAGGGAAAGTCTATGGCTTTGATCAGATTCTCAGAAATCCCCAGGATCCTTCCCCTAATCCCAACGTTTAAGAAGCAGGTGATTTCCTTTGAGAGATGATATCTGGGTCACTGGGAGACTGCCTGTGTAGTGGGACAAGCTGGGGTCAGGGATTAGCTGGACCTGGTTTAAGGAGGGTAACTTAACCTTGCAAACCTTGTTTCCCTTCTGGAAAATGCAGGTAATGTGTTTTCCCCCTCACGGGACTATGGAATGAAAAGAGCCTAGTGCTGTGTCTAGGCTGTTCCCTGCCCCCACCCTACATCCTAGGTGTTGGGGGAGCTGGGAGTTTATGCAGGTGGGCCGCCAGGCTCACCTTCTTGCAGAAGTGGTGGAGGTGGAGCAGCGTCTCCAGGTCTGTGCGTTGCCGCTCGGCTGCCATGTAGAAGTGGGTCAGCTTAGCCTGGAAGGCCCGCTGGGTGAAGGTGAAGCCTGCCAGCTCCGGGAGCTCTGTTCCTCCCGCCTCCCTGGCCCTGGCTGCAGCTCCCAGCTGGGCCGCCTGCTTGCACAGCTCCAGGCCACGGCGGTACTGGGCCTGAGCAGGGAGGGGAGGGGTGTCTACTCAGCTCCAGCCTTACTACCGGGCTATGAGACTTCCTGAGCCTCAGTTTCCTCATCTATAAAATGGGAACCCAGGGTTTACTTTGCCTGCTGGGATTCTGCTTAGCGTCACCCTCTTCTGGCAAAATTCTCCAACCCCAGAGTCTGGGTTACAGGCTCCTCACCTGTGTCCCCACAGTTCTCCTTTTCTGGCTATTTCCCTGTTGCCCCCAGCCCCCCATCTTGTCTCTGCCCTCCACTGGCCTGGAAGTTCCCCGAGGGCTGAAACAGAGGCTGAATCACCCTGTGCCCCAGGACCCAGCACATCAAGGATGCAGATTCTCTCCCCCCACCCCAGCTCTGAGGCTGACTCAGTAGGGCTAGGGTAGGACCCTGGAATGTGTATTTTAAGAAGCCCTCCAGGCATTCTGAGATGGGTCATCTTTGTACTTGGTAGTCAGGGAAGGCTTCCTGGAGGAGACAATATCTAAGCTGAATGCTCTGTGTTCCAAGTTGCTCTCCTCACTGTCTTGGGAAGCTTTCTTCCACTTTCCCGCCTCCGCAACTTTTCCCCCGCAGTGCCACCCCCATCTCCTGCCCTCTCTATCTGCTCCTCCCCCCCTCAGTTTTAGAAACACACCGCAGCCTGAAGGAAGAAGTCCTCAAACTCCGTGTGGGCTTTCTCCACTGTCTCCAAGCTTCCGTCCTTGGGGGTTAGCACTTGCAGGCACTGGCTTCCTTCCTGCTCCATCCAGTTGCTGACCTGGGGCAGGGGAGGGAGGTTTGGACATGAGGGGCTGCTGAGGAGACATCCTTAGGCCAGTTTGCCACCTTCCTGGGAAGCTGAAGTCTTGTCCTCAGTCATCTGGGGGCTGGGCCTATGCCACCGGCCTGGACTGAAACCCTCCCAATTCTGGGGAGGAGAAGAGACAGCTTGGGGTGGGGGTGGGGCGTGGTTCTCACCATCCAAACAGCGCCAGAGGAAGGTGCACGGCCCTGCCATGAAATCCCTGTGTGAACTGCACAAGTCACTTCTCCTTTCTGGGCTTCAGTTTATTCAGTGGCAAAATGGGGTAGACGTGAGGATTCAAGGAAGGACAGAGGGGGTAAAATGGCTCTCGATCCCATAAGCAGAAGTCTTCTTCGTATTCTGGGGTGTCTTAAAAGAGCATCACCCACTTTATCCTCACAAAGCCCCAGGCGGCAGGCACTAATATTATCCCCCATTTAACAGGTGAGGAAACCGAGGCACTGAATAGCTAAATACCTTGTCTAGGGTCACACCGCTTGTAAGTGCTAGAGCCAGCACTGGAACCAGGCCATCTGGTTCCAGGCACACTCTGTTCCACGGCCCAGAGCATGAAGGGATGTGTTGGTTCTAGGCATCAACAGTTGGACAGAGTGGTGCCAGGTGTGGGCTCCAGGATCAGACCCCTAGGTGTGCGACCACGGGCAGATGACATAATGTCTCCCAGTCTCAGTGTCCTTATCAATGAGTAGGAGAAATCCTAGCATCTTCCCCACATCACTGGTAAAGGATGAGGTTGGAAAGCGGTGATGGACACAAAGGATCTGGCCCAGGGCTTGGCGCAAAGTTGGTGTTTAAAAAATGCAGCTTCTGGAGTTATGTCTTCACCTATCAAGCACTATGGAGTGCATGTCATGTGCTCCAAGAATGCCTGCCTGCTGTCGTTATACGAGAGCAAAGCGCCTGGCTGGGGTGGGGCCTGGAGAGGCAGGAGCCGCCCACCACCCCGTCACGTCCCAGGGCCAGCTTCCTCCTCTCTCACCTGGTGGATGGCAGCTTCCAGGCGGCCCAGGCGGACGCGGAGCTCCAGCCTCCTCAGGAGGTGGTTGGACACAGTGACGAGGACATGCAGCTGTTCATCCACGAGGCTGTACAGGGCAGCAGCTTCGGCCAGATGGCTCCTGGGAGGCCGAGGAGTGTGAGAGAAAACCCAAGATGCTGACCCCCTGCCCCGGAGCCCCAGCACTCCTGCCTAGCATAGGCATGCCTCCGCGGCTCCCACCAGCTCTGTGGCCCTGGCCTGGGTATTTCAGCTGCTGACTTGCTGTGTGAGGTTGGGCAGGTCCCTACACCTCTCTGGGCCTCAGCCTTGGCCTTCCGTGGGACTGGGAGGACCAGAGGACACAGCGAGAAACCAAATGACCCTCCCTTTCCCCAGGAGGGTATGAACCGAGCTGGAGAGATCTGGGTTCAAATCCCAGCCCTGCTACCTTCTAGTAACAGAATCTTGTGCAAACTTCTCAACCTTTCTGTCTCCGTTTCTTCAGCTATAAAAAATGGGGATAACAGAACCCATTTCACAGGGGGGTTGTGAGAATTAAAGGATCTAACCCCTTGGCTCTCAACCCTGGCAACACAATTAGAACCTGCTCTGGGAGCTTTAAAAATCCCAATGCCCGGGCCCCTCCCCGACCCACCGGAGTCCTGCTCGGAGAGTGGCCTGGACCTCAGCGCTTTCCGAAGCTCCTCAGGCAAACCCGCCCTCACGCACTCAAAACACTTAACACAGTGCCTGGCCCACGGTGCTGTTAGCGCTTGTTATTTCTTTTACTTTTGTTAATTAATTTTTATTGCAGTATAGTTGATTTAAAATGTTGCATTCGTTTCTGCTGAACAGCAAAGTGAATCAGTTATACATATACATATACATATATCCACTCTTTTTTAGATTCTTTTCCCATATAGGTCATTACAGAGTATTGAGTAGAGGTCCCTGTGCTATAGAGTAGGTCCTTATTAGTTATCTATTTTATATACAATAGTGTGTATATGTCAAGCCCGATCTCCCAGTTTATCCCTCCCTCCCCCTTCCTCCTGGTAACCACAGGTTTATTTTCTACTTCTGTGACTCTATTTCTGTTTTGTAAATAAGTTCATTTGCTTATATGTGGAATCTAAAAAAATGGTACAAATGAACTTATTTACAAGGCGCTTGTTATTTCTATTGTAATGATGACGAGTGGCTGTAACACACCTCTCCACTCTGGCCTCTATTTTACAGATAGGAAAACATTTACACATAGGAAAACTGATCCTCCAGAGAGAGGTTCTGACTCATATGCATGGCAGTCTGAATTGGAACTCAGTCCACGGCCTTTTCCGCACATGATTTTAAAAAATGATCAAAGCCAGCAAGACATAAATGAAGGGATGCAGATGGGATTTCAGGAGAAACTTGGGTGAAGGGAGGAATCTCAGGGCTTTCCCAACACCCCTCAAATCCCACCCCACCCTCCTCTGCCCTTGGGGTCCTTTAGAAGGAAAAGGAAAAAGAGGAGATGGAAGGAGAGCCCGTTTTCCTGGAGGGAGCCTTGCCCTAAGCCTCCTTATCTGACTGTAGCTTCCCACAGGTCACTGCCCTTCCACGGAAGGGGTGAGCACCCAGGGTGCGTGAACGGGATGGAAAATGCCAGTCTGTCTGGCAAGGGGAGGGAGAAACGGGCGGGCAGGCAGGAGCTGCCTAAGAAACACGCAGAGGCTCACGCGGGACCACAGCGCTCCCTGGTGGAGCTGCTGGTGGCCAACGGTCTGGTGGGGCCTATGTTGGACCAAAGGGGCTTGGGGGCCCAGTCAGTGAGGCAGGGGCATGCTGGGAAAGGCAGTGCCAGTCCCACCAGGCTGTGTGAGGGGCAGTGAGGACAACTCCACACCGAGCACCAGGGTCCACTGCCGCCCAGCGCTCACATCAGCATGAATCTCTCTGTGGGCAGAGGTCAGGGTGGTGTGTTCAAGATTCTGGGCTAGGCTGCCTGGGTTCAAGTCTCAGCCCCACCACATCCCAGCTGTGTGGCCCTGGGCAAGTCACTTAACTTCTCTCTGAACCTCAGGCTCCTCCACTGTAAAATGAGGATAATACTCGGAGCCCCTTCGTGGGTGGGAATTAACCACATTAATATTCTTAAAGCCCTCAGAACAATGTTGTGTTCATACTAAGTGCTATTGAGAGGAGGAGGTTAAATAAATAAAACGTTCTTGGATTATGCAAACTTTGTAGTAGTGTTCATTCTAACAGAGATAAAATATATACAACTACTGGCTGATTTAATTACTGATTTGCACCTCTCCTCCACCCCACTCCTAAATTTAAGAAAATTGGTTCTTTCTAGGAATGCGTATTTCTTGCTCTGTGGTTCTGTGACCCTGGCACAGCACGAGGTTCCCCTGGCCCCTGCCACGAAGGGTAGGGCGGTGCAGGGGTTAGTGCTCAGCTGGTCTGGCTGTTACTTCCCTTCGCTTAGCCTCAGGTATTTATCAGCCAAACAGGAGGATGTGAGCCTCACGCGCTCTTCTGAGGAATAAGAGGTGGGCTCTTAAAGGGGCTCAGCCCAGTGTCTGGGTCAGAGAGCATCCTTGGTCTATGACAGTGACCAGAAATGGGGGTGCTGTCCTCTGATGCCTGGGCTGAGGAGGGGCAGCAGAGAAGGGACTTGCCAAGGTATAGGCTGGGGGCCCGTGATCAGGCCTCAGTCCAGGATATGGGCCCGGCAAACACCCCATCCTGGGCATCTTCAGAGCCCACCGTATGTGTCCCCTCAGCGAAGTGACCCCAGCCCTGAGTCCCAGCCTGGGAAACAGGATGGGGCGGGGAAGGAAAAGCCTGGTGTCCGTACCTGATGTCTGGGTTGAAGTTCAGCCTGCTGCCTTCCTGTCGCAGCCTGGCCAGGGTGGCTCCGCCTTCCCGCTGGAGGCCCAACAGGCCTGGGTCCCTCAGCACAGCCTCCATCAGCTCCTTGGACTTGCTCAGACACCTGGAGGCCTCCTGCCAGGGTAGGGAGGTACCTGCGGCTCAATCCCCACTTTCCTTCTATAACCTTCCAGGGCTCCCCACACCCCAATCACGCCTGACTCCCCCAGTTTGGCGTTCAAGGTTCTACAGAAAGTCTCTCCTTTTTATCTCTAAAACATCTCCTCAAGCCAAGCTTGCTCTCATCACCGTGGCAACCTCACTGGTCCAAGCACCATCATCTCTTGCTGGGACGCCCATCCCAGCCTCTTCACTGATCTCTCTGTGGTACTCTGGCTCCCCCTGCAGTCTATTCTCTGAATGACAGCCGGATGGATCTCAAAGAGCCAATCTGATCATCCCAGTGCAGCTGCTTAGAACTCTCCAGCGGCTTCTCTGCCCATTTAGAATCAAATCCCAACCCAACTCCTCCCTGATACAGCCCCGTGGATCCAGAAGATCCTCTCATTCTATCCTCCCCTCCCCCACTCTGTTCCATACTGGCCTCCTTGCTCTTCCTGAACAGACCAAGCACAGACCAAGTCCCATGGCTCCGTCCCATCCTTCAAGGCTCAACTTCTATACCCTCCTTCCCCGTTTTTCTCAATCTTACTTTCACAGCATTCAGCATCACTTGTAATGACATGTCCATTTCTGTTTATTTTTAAAATTATGACCTTTCGCACTGTACCATGAGCCCCACGAGGGCAGGGACAAGTCGATTTGCCCCAGGCTGGGTCTCCAGGCCGTGACACATGGTGACTGTCCAGTAAATATCGGTTGAATGAATGAATGAAAACAGAGTCCCTTCACTGAGCCCTTGGTCCATGAAATAAGGGAGGTGGTGTGGTTTCCCCACCTCGGGCTCTTGTCTCACCTGCACCCCTCCAGGGGGGTCACCCTTCTCAAACTCCTTGATGGAAGCCTTTAGCAGCGAGGAGGCCTGGCGGAGGTCAGCAAGGAAAGGGTCCAGCTTCTGCAGGAAAGGAGGCCAGAGTGGGGATGTTAGCCTGGGCCAGTGAAGAGCGTGCCTCTCCTCTCCTCCCACCAGGAGGACACGCGGGTGGTGGTTCTCAAACTTTAGCTGCATCAGAATCCCCTGGAAAGTCAGTTAGAAAGCAGGCTGCTGAGCCTTCCTCCTGAGTTTCTGGTTTAGTTTCTCTGGGGTGGGGCCTGAGAGTGTGCATTTCTAACAGGTTCCCAGGTGGCGCTGATGCTGCTGGTCCAGGGACCACAGTTTGAGAACCACTCATGCTGGGAATGAGAGAGAAAAAGAGAGAAGACAGGCCTGACCTACTCCCAGGCCTGTGGGAGAGGGAATGGTAGGAGGGGGTGAGAGGGCAGGGGTAGAGGACATCCTCTCCGGATCCCACTTCAGCCCAGCTCCACCACTTACTAGCTCTGAGGCCTTGGGCAAGTTTCTTAACCTCTCTGTGCCTCTACTTCCTCTTCTGCAAAATGGGATCATTTCCCCATTTCCTGCCTTAGAGGCTTGTGGGAGGACGAAATGGGTTTATTTGTGCCAGGCACTTAGAATAGCACTGATACTCATCCTCATTATCAGTTTTATATGCTGGCTCTATAGGTAAGATTTCATTTAAAGGGGAGGTTTTAAAGCAAAAATATAGTTCAAAAGCCTCTGGATTAATTGGAGGCCTCTGGAGAGGGGAACTGGGGGCCTGTGGGACAAATAGGAAAAGAGATTTTTTTCAGTATATACCCTTTTGTACCATTTGAATTTTGAACACAGGATCCATTCAAAAATAGACCCAATCTTAAAAAGAAGAGAACCAGGCCGAAAGCAAATAAGCAAACAGCCATGTTAGACTATAGACCAGTGGTTCTCCGTGCGTGATGGTTTCGTACCCCAGGGGACATTTGGCAATGTCTGGAGACACTTTTGGTTGTCATAATTTGCAGGATGCTATTGTCAGAGTGGGTAGGGACCAAGGACGGTGCTAATCACATGAGAGCGCACAAACAGCTCCCCCAGAAAAGAATGATCTGACCCCAAATGTGAATAGTGCTGAAGTCGAGCCGCCCTGGTCTAGAGAAAGCCCTGGGCGGGCAGCTATGGGCACCGGTCCTGGTGCGGTTAAAGCCCATAAGCTCCTGTGTGTGGCTGTGGAAGTTGTGCCCATCCTACGCATCCTCATGGGTTAAATTGGGCATGAGGTGCCCCCTCGCAGGGTTGCGGTGAGGAAGGATTGAGGTCACACAGGAAAGGAGCCCAGCCCTGGAAGTTTCCTTACTTCCTCCCTCTTACAGGAGTGAGCACATCTGCCTCCCTCACCAGACCCCAAGCTCCCCGAGTTTTGTGTGTCCACAAAGCAGATGTCTGTAAATGTATTTGCAGTTAACACTAACATCACTCTTAGCATGTGCCAGACACTCTTCTAAGCTCTTTACACACATGAACTCAAGCCTCACATCAGTCCCATTTCGTCATTGAGGAAGAGGGCTCCGAGAAGGTGTGTAACTTACCCAAGGTCACACAGCAGAGCTGGGATTGAAACCCAGGCCTCCTGGCCCCAGAGCTTCTGGCCCTTCCACTCTGCACCCTCATTATAAACACTTGTTCAATGACTGTCTTTGAACCTGATAAGTTCAGTGGACCCATGGGGCAGGACGGTGAAGGGAGAAACAGAAGGGGTGAGGGTGTGGGGTGAAGGCTGTGATGGTAGATACCTGGAAGAATTGCACCCATTCACCGTGGCAGTAGGGGAAGGGGCCTTCCAGGGCCATGGGCAGCTGGCTGGGGTCCACGTGGCGGCTGAGGGCCTTCAGTGAGGTCAGCACCTCTACCTGCAGACAAAGAAGCAAGTCAGAAGGACCAGGGGACTCAGTGTAGAGACAGATGCTTGAGAAGGTCCTGCCCAGACCCACGCCCCAGCACCACTCCACTTCCCATGGGTAAGGCTGGCCCTGGCTTTAAGAGCTGCTTTCTGGGCAAGGGATCTTCTCTGGAAACTCTGACAAATCAAAATTGAGAACCACACCCTGGGTAAGAAATGGCAAATAAACAGCATTCGTACTGCCACTGTCCTAGCCTGTGCCCGAAGCAGACATTAATCAATCACGGAACTCCTTCCTTCTGAGCTGGGCTCCTTCCCAGCACAGGTGTCCAGGCAATCAAACAAACAGACTGAAGCTGGCCCATGTCCTGTAACTTCTTTGTAATCATTGTACTGTTCTCTGGAGACCCATCAAGGTACTATCTTCTTGGGGCTGTTGAGAAAGGCCACCAAATGCTAACAGTATCCCCTTAGACATGGAGCAGGGACTAGGTGACTGCATCTCCCAGGCAGTGATGCTTGAGGCTTATGCTATGAATGGCTCCAGATACCTAAGCTTGGCATGGGGAGAATTCTGTGGCGTTTTGGAGCCCATTTTTCATGCCTGGTATTTAAAGTGTGGTCCACGGACCAGCAGCACCAGCATGACTTAGGAACACGTTAGAATGCAGAATCCCAGCTCCCATCCAGACCTACTTAATCAGAACCTGCACTTGGACAATCCCCAAGAAATTCATAGGCACCTAAAAGCTTGAAAGGTACATCTCTAGTTTACAATGTGCCTCTTTGTTAACCAGGAGGTAGAAGGAGACCTTTAGAATCATTTCCTGGGGCTTCCCTGGTGGCTCAGTGGTTGAGAGTCCGCCTGCCGATGCAGGGGACACGGGTTCGTGCTCCGGTCTGGGAAGATCCCACATGCCGCGGAGCAGCTGGGCCCGTGAGCCATGGCCGCTGAGCCTGTGCATCCGGAGCCTATGCTCCGCAACGGGAGAGGCCGCAACAGTGAGAGGCCCGCGTACCGCAAAAAAAAATAATAATAATAAAATAAAATCATTTCCTGAAACAGGGCAGAGGGCAGGGTGCCCACGCTTGTGACTGTGGTACATGGCACTGATTAAAGGGAGCTGCAGTGCTCTTTCCCGTGAAGTCCCGAATCAACTTAGCATCTAAGTTGGAGATGCTGAGAGAAACTAGGGAGAGAGATACAGGAAGGGCCAGGTGAGGTGTGGAAACAGCCCCTCTAGCTTGCTGTGTGGCCTTGGACCTCAGTTTCCCTATCTGAGAAGAAGGGAGGAGGGGTTGACAAGATGAAGCTTTCAAGTGGGTTTCATGCTGCGCGCAGCTCTCAATCACGTGGTTGTGCCCACCGGGAGCTGCTAGGGTTGCCAGGGAGAAATAATTCTGGGGCTGATTTGGCAATGCTTGCCATGGGGGCTGGGCAGTAGAGTTGTAGCATCCTGGACTCGTATCTAATGGACCTACCCTTGATTATTTCAGGGCCTCTCCTAGCTTGTGAATTCTGCCATTCTTCACCCCAGCTCAGCTCCAGCCCACCTCCCCTCCGCCGCAGCCGATGCTGCCTCCCCCTCACCTGGATGTCAGATGCCTCCAGCTGGAGAGCGGCCTCCTGCTCCCCCAGGAAGAGCACAGCACGGATGGAGGTTGGGACCAGAGTCTGTTGGAGAGAATCATTTCAGAGCTGATCTGCCTAGGCTTTCACTGAGCCTCCCGGCTAAGACGTAGGCAAATGGGCCACAGGGATGGGGTGAGGGTTCCCCATGGCTGGGACCCTTATGCAGTATGGAGGGCTTGGATCCGTTTTTGGAGGGTGAGTCAAATGACTTATTGGGAGTCACTGGAAGTCAAGAGAACAGCAGGTCCAAGCTGGACTGCAAACTTCCCAGGTGCCCCACCCACTCTGGGTCTCAGTTTCCCCATCTGTAAAGGGAGAAGGACTTGGGCGTGGAGGTCATGAGGTGAGCATATGCCAAACTTCCATTTATGCTGCTGCCCATACTGGTGAGTTAGCAATCTCTTCCCTCCCCCATTCTCAGTTCATGAGTTAAGCCTAAGCCTATGTCGCATTCCCCTGACACAGAGATTGGCTGATGGATGGACAGCTGAGCAAATCTGGGCTAAGGAGACACAAAGAAACTTTTGCTGAGACTTCTGGGAAAAGAATCACTCTTTCCTACCGGGCTTAAATGAAAGCCCATATGAAGTTAGAGCTGCAGGGAACCACACTGCCACCAAGAGGGGGACCTGGCTGAGAATGGCACTCTCCCAGGAGAATGGGGCCAGAAATAGGGAGATAGAAACCCGATCTTGGTGGCAATATTTGAGTCCCTGAATCAAGCCATACTTGAAGTTGGGTTTAACTCCCGGACAGTCGAATCAGATAAACCAATGAATGACCTTTGTCTTTAAGCATGGCTGGGCTGGGGTTTCTGTTATGTGCAGCTAAGACTCCCTACCTGGGTTCCTGGTCCTAGCTCTGAGCCTCTCAGGATCTGTGAATATCCTAAGGCCCCCGGTGCTCGCAAGACTTGCGAGGCTGAGGCTGTCCACCTCCCACTCACCTGGGTGGCCTGCAAGGCACTGACCAGACCAGGATGTGGGGGCTGTTTCCTGGCATCAATCACGACCGCCAGCCCCTCGGTTTTATCTTCAGGCCTGTGGGTGGTAAACAGAATTGAGAGTCTTGCTGGATGAACTAGGGCCCTCGAGGGGGAAGGACCTAGTGGAAGGTGAGGGAAACTGGCTGCTAGAAGCCTGGGTTTACTGGTGAACTCTTCATCCCATGGGACAAAGTTCCAGTGCCTCCCTGTGCCCCTGACACACACCACTTCCAGGAAGCCCTCCATGATTCTTCTCCAGGCAGCATCCGTTATTCCCTCTTCGGCACTCCCACAGTACCTCACACAGCTCTCTCTTACACCCTAATAATCATGAACTATAAGTTACTATCCCAGTTGCAGTAGGAGTCACCTAACCTTCATCCACCCCTTTTGTGTGGGCAGAAGGTTCACTTTGTTCAAGAATCCAATTCCCTCCATATAATCACGTCCCCCCTCCGCCAGGGGCTGGTTTCTGATTGGTTGAGGCCCACAGTAGACCCAATTCCCCTGGCCAATGATTGGTTTAGATAGGGAACATGTGACATTTTCTGGCCAATGAGATGTGAGGGGATGTTTGCTGGGGGCTTTTGGGAAAGATATCCTCTCCGTAAACAAGTTCTTACAAAGAGATATAAGGCAGAGACATAGACTGATACATTTCCTTAGCAGGTAAGACATTTTAAATTGGAATTTGTTACTTGCAGCCAAAACACATTCATGGGTTCACAGTGCACTTTTCAGTGATTACCTTAGGATTTTCCAAAGTGGCCCAATTGCAGGACTTGTTAAAATACCAATTCCTCACCCCCACCCCCGCTCCACCCCCCAAGAAATCTGTCCAGCAGGCTGGGGGTGGAGCCAGGGAGTCTATGCTTCCAAGTGCCCTGACCATTCAGCCAAGTTGGGAAAATAACCCCCAACCGCCTTCAAGCCTTACAACCACCCAGTTCACAGACGAAACCAGAGGTGGCCAGTGGGGGGGGTGGAGCTATGGCAGTCACCCGGGCACGCTGTTTCACCTGTCTGGGAGGATAATAATCGTGCGGGCTTCAGGGGGCTGTGCTGAGGACTGATGGATTCATTACTGTAAAGTACTCAGGGACTGCGCAGTGTAACAGGCATGTCAATGTCTGCTGTCATCCCTATCCTGGGGGGGAAACTGAGGTACACGGCGGTGCCACAGCAGACAGTGAGAGGAGGCTCTCGGAGGTGAGGCCAGGGCTCCGACTTCGTGCTCCACACCTCACCTGCCTCTCGCTATGCCCATGCTGGGAGAGAGGTTTATTTCTCCACCTACCTCCACTACCAGCCTGGATGCCCCTAGAGGTCAAGGCCCAATATAGGAGTATCTGGGTCCCTAGCATGGCCCAGCATGAAGTCTGGCCCAGGGCAGGTGCCCAGCAATGGAGTGGAGAAGCCAGCCCAGCATACGAGAACCCCATGCATAGTTCACACTGCACCTCACCCCCACCTCTTGTGACCATGCTTGGTCCTCAGAGCCCACTTAGTCATCACCCTTTTTCAGGGAAGCCTCAGAGAGGGGAGGTTACCGCCTACAGGTAACACAGCAAGTTGGTGGGATTCCAGCATTCTGTCTACCATGACACTTAGCACAGAATGGGGGTTTCCATCTCCTCCTCAGACCAGAAAAGCCACTCCACTTTGGACAAGAAGAAAAATCTCAGTGGCCAGCAGGTGGTGGTGATGGCTCCTATGGGGTGGAGAAGGTTCCAAAGGGTTCCATCAGTCCCTCCACCCCCTACCCCAGCAGCAGAACCTCTAGGTTGGGATCTATAGCCACAGTCCCAAGCAAACACCGCCTCTGAGACCGCTCTGGCTGGGGGCTGGGACTCAGAGGAAAGATGGTGCCTCTTCCCCAGCCAGTCCAACATGAAGTCTGAATGGGGGGGTGGAGGGAAGGGGAGGTGTTAGAAATCAGCCTGGTCACTCATCACTCATTCATTCTTTTACTCTCTCACTTATTCATTCATTCATCCATTCACCTTTTCCTTCATTTGTTCAAAAAATATTTATAATTCATATACCAGCTCAATTATCACCTCCTCAGAGAAGCCTTCCCTGATTTCTCAATTGAAATTAGCTGCCCCCCCACCCCCTTCTCACTCTACAACAGTGGCTCTCAAAATGTGTCCTCAGCCCAGCAGCATCAGCATCAGGAAACTTGTTAGAAATACATGTTCTCAGTCCTTATCCAGACTCAGTGAATCAGAAACTCTGGGGGTAGTGCCCAGCCATCTGTTTTTACAGATCTCTGGATGATTCTGATGCCTGTTGAGTTTGAGAACCACTGATCTACAACATCCCTGTTTTCTTCACCACATTAACACCCCTGAGAGCTGCTTGTCCATGTCTGTTTCTTGCACACCATTCACCTCCCCCGCCAGCCTGTGAACGCCCTGATGGCAGGGACCAAGTCTGTCCTGCTTTCCCCCCAGCATCTGGCTCAGGACCAGCTCTGGAAACAGATGACTGGATGGAAGGATCTCTCCATCTGCTACCTGGTGCTGGGCTCTGGACTGAGAGGTCGAGGGGGGATGGGGTGGTCAGGCTAGCCCAGCCCCTTACCTGGGGATGGTGCACAGGTAGGAGAACAGCTTGGTGACCTCTGAGGCCGTGCACCATGGTGCCTCCCAGGGCCCCTTGGTGGTTGACACCAGAAGCAGGGGCCGCCCTGCCCTGTCTCGACCTCCTACAGGAGAAAGCACAAACACTGAGAATTTTGGTGGAGCCCCCTCTACGGGAACCTGCTCTGTGGCCTCCAAGCCTTTGCCTGTACTGGTCCCTCTGCCTGGAATACCCTTTCTCTCCTCCCACTGTGAACTCTGAACTCTTATTCATCCCTCAAGACCCAGCTCAAAAGCCACTTCCTCAGAAAAGTCATCCCTGAAACACTCCTCCATGCAGAGGCAGCCTCACCCTCCTCTGGTCACCCTCTGTACTGGGCAACCTGGGAAACAAAGCTCACGGAATGAGCTTTGGGGTCACACAGACATGGGTTTAAGTCCCAGCTTAAACCCATGTTTAAGGGACACACTGACTTTCTGTGTGCCCTTAGCCAAGTCAGTGTGTCTCTGAGTCTCAGTTTCGTCATCTGTTAAGTGGGGAGAATACAATACTGAACTTATGAAGGTATTTTGAAGACTAAATGAAACAGTTCCTGAGAAGCGCTTGACACAGGGCAAGGGCCTAATAAAAAGCAGTCGTTATAACAATCATCATTTCTGCCCTCATCTCAGCCCTCCGTGTGGTGAGTGTGCAGCCCGTGGCTGCCAGCTCACTATTTATTCTTGCTGACTTCCAGCCATGAGTTCTCCACCGACTATTTCCTGTTCCAGGAATCAGGACAGGGTGCTCCGTGTTCCCCACAGGGGTCAAGAGTCTGAGTTCCAGGGGGTCAGCACAGCCTGTCTACACTGCGGGGAAGGGGAAGTACAGGGGGAAAGAGTCCCAGGCCTCTGGAAACTGAGCCTGTCCTGCACCCTGGGCTCGGAGCCCTGCCCCCCAGAGTCACCTCATTCAAGGCCACCCTGCGATGAGCAGGATCTACTGCATGCAGGTACAACCCTCCACAGTGTATAAGTGTGTGAGACCCTATGTAGCTCATGAAGCCTTGGACAAACTTAACCACCTTCACAAGTGCTGCCTTACACAGGGGTGCAACCATCTAGAGCATTCTTTCTTTCACATATGTTTGAAAATTTTTAAATTAAAAAATTTAAAAATCTACATTTGTATATACATTTTATGCAAAAATATATACATTAATATATACATTTGTATATACACACAAATATATATATTTGTACATATATGTGCATATATATGTATATATATTTTTTACATCCTCTTGATATCATGGGTTTTTCCTAATATTCATTTATACTAAATTCCAAAAGGAAAACATTTTGTTGGGGACAATATGAGAAATTTGAATATGAGCTGGGTATTGAGTGGTATTAGGAATTATTTTTAATTTTTTTAGGTGTGCTTAATGACACTGTGGTTATTAGGGAAAATGTCCTTGTAGTTAAGAGATGCACATTAAAATACTTAGAGGTAAACTATGAAGATCTGTAATTTACTTTAAAATACTTCAGGAAAAAAAAAAGATGAAACATGCCAAAATGTTAAGATTTATTAAATCTGAGTAATGGGTATGTGGGTTTTCATTATCCTATAGTCTCTACTTTTCTCTATGTTTGAAATTATTCATAAAAGAAAGTTTTTAAAAAGTGAAATAATTAAACCATGAAAAAAATTACATAACTTGCAAAGTTAGAGATGTTTGTACATATCCCTCTGAAATCCTCTCAAAGCCATTGGGTTCCTCAGGTCAGGAAATGCTACATTATGTCCCTGGGCCCATCTTATTGATGAGGAGACTGAGGCCTGGAGAGAGGAAGCAGCTTCCCCGTCTGCCACAGTGCCCAACTTGCCAGTTAAGGTGGGGGTCATGCCTGATTCAGCCCTTGACCCTGGACCACACCGAGAGATGAGCTTTTGTCTGCTGTATTGGAGCTCAATCACAGCTCCAGTGGTACTACTCCCCTGCTCTAGAACCTTCCATGGCTCCTCATGGCCTCATGCAGAAAGCACAAATTTCTCAACCTGGCACTTAAGTCTCCCCAGGATCTGCACACTCTTCCAGCCTCATTTCATATACTTTGGGTTATGACCTGAATTGTGTCCTCTCCCCCCAAATTCATATGTCAAAATCTTAACCCCCTAATACCTCAAAATGTGACTGCATTTGGAGATAAGGTCTTTAAAGAGGTGATTACGTTAAAATGAGGCCATTAGGGTGGGCCCTAATCTAATATGACTGGTGTCCTTATAAGAAGAGGAAATTTGGACACAGACACACATTGGGAAGACCATGTGAGGACACAGGGAGAAGATGGCCATCTACAAGCCAAGGAGAGAGGCTCAGAAGAAACCAGCCCTGCCAACACCTTGATCTTGGACCTCTAGCCTCCAGAACTGTGAGAAAATAAATTCCTGTTATTTAAGCCCCCCAGTCTATGACACTTTGTTAGGGCGGCTCTAGCAGACTAATACACTAAGTCACCAATGGCTCAGCTGGAATGGGTCATCTGTCACTGCGTAAATTAGCCTGACCCTTTCCCACCTCCCCACCTTTGTTCACACTGTTCCTTCTGCCAGAGGTTCCCTTCCCTGTCCCCTCTCCATCTGGCGAAACTCTCCTCAGCTTTCAAAGTCCAGCTGAGGTGCCACCTCCTCCAGGAAGACATCCTCCCTGCCCTCTAGAGAGACCTTTCTCCCACCCCAGGTTCCCCCAGCAAACCTAGGCCTCTTTTAGATCCTGCAAGACTGAGGGCTCCTTAAGGGTGTTCACTGGCTTAAACTCTTTATATCCCAGTGCTCAGCACAGGACAGGAGCCAATAATCAATGTCAGGAATTGACCAATGAATAAATGGTCAGAGTGGGGCCTCTCAAACTTTGGTGTGCTAGGGATCTTGCTACAATGCGCACTGTGGTCCAGCAAGCCTGAGATTCTTCATCTCTCTCTAGCTCCACGTGATGCTGATGTATCTGATCCCCAGACCACGCTTTGAGCAGCAAAGGGTTCAAGCACTCAGGACATTCCATACTAGGACACAGTGACCAGTTCAAGTGTCTGGTCCCCCCGCCAAGCTCTGCCTGGCACAGGGCTCTGCACACAGCCAGGGCCGGCTGAGCACGCAGATGCCGTCTGAGTGCAGTGCAGTGACGGACAGCTGTCCACCTGATCTGCTTACACCTGGAAGGCCCCTTTGCCCCAGATGCTACCCCGTCTGACAGCTGGTGCCAGGAATACCATCGTTAGCATCTCAGAGCCTGGCTGGAAGCTGCGCTGTTCACATTGGGTTATGATCTCAGGAAGAAATGGAGACAGCAGGTTGGGAGGTGGTGGGTGGTGTTACCCAAAGGCACTGAAAAACTTGTTGTACCTTCTAAAGCACTCACTCCAAGTCTTGGGGTGGGGGGAATGCTAGTAATTTAACGGGCAAGCAATTTTAAAATATTGAAATATACATTTTTATATGGAAGTGTAAATATAATTCTTAATTATAAGAATTATAATAATGTATAGAAATTTTAAAGACAAAGATTTTAAAGATATGTACAGAGCAACTGAAAGCTCAGGGTGAGGTCTCAACCCCTGGGACCCTGTTCCCTCTCTTCTGCATCAGGGGCTTTTTGTGAAAAGCCCTCTCCAGAGGCTCTGTGCCTGTGGTTGGCAGACTCATGGCTCCAGAGGTGTCCATTCTGGAATCCCCAGAGCCTGTGGATGTGCTAGCTTACCTGGCAAAGGGACTTCGCAGATGTCACTAAGGTAGGACCTTGAGATGGGGGAGATAATCTAGGCCTAGATTATCTAAGTAGGCCCAATCGAATCACATGATCCTTAAAAGTAGAGGCCCTTTCCTGGCTTCAGCCAGTCTGAGAAAGATATCAAGAGAGATGAAGGGTCAGAGGGATGTGCTGTTGCTGGATGTGAAGGTGAAGGAAGGGACCACAAGCCAAGGAAGGTAGGCAGCTTCTAAAAGCTGGAAAAGACAAGGTATGGATTCTCTCCTAGAGTATCCAGAAAAGAACACAGTCCACTGACACCTTGATCTCAGCCCAGCAAGATCTGGGCTTTCTAACCTATAGAACTGTAAGATATTACATTTATGTTTTTTAAAGCCACTGAGTTTCTGGTAATTTGCTATGACCACAATTGGAAAGGAATATGTAACTCCCACCCTCAGAATGGGAGCAGTCATTCACACCTTAGTGTTGATTAGTCTCTTTCCTGAGAACAGATCTTTGTGGAAAGTTTGGAGCTGAAGGGACCTGAGGAGAAGAAAGGAGGCAAGGAGGTGAGGGAAAGATCCTAATAGGGAGCCTGGGATGCCTGCTTCACAGGGACTGGCCTGGAGCAGATCTTGATCTTGGAGCACAGACTTTGGGGACTGTTTCCGCTACAAGGAAACTCCAATGGAAGCAAAGAGACCAGTGAGGATACTACTGTAATAGGCAAGCAACTATGCTGGTTTGGCCCTGGGTGGTGTGAAGTCATCAAATTCTGTATATAATTCGATGGAAGAGTTGACAGGACTTGCTAACAAATTGGATGTAGGGTGTAAGAGAAAGTCCTCCAGGATCTAGTGTTCTAGGAAAGATTAGAAGGCTGGGAAGGGTGCAGGGGGGTGTGAAATCAGGAGTCCATCTTTGGTCATGTTAAGTTAGAGATGCCTGTTAGACATCTAAGTAGAAACATCAAGTACACGGATGGATGGATGAGTATGGAGTTCATGGGCAGAGTCCAGGCTGGAAAAATAAATGTGGGGGTTATCAGTGTAGAGACAACACTTAAAACAAATATTCACCAGTGAGATGGGATGAGATTGCCAAGGAAGTGAGTCTAGGGGGAGAGGAGAAGGGGTCCAAGGACTGAGCTTTGGGGAGCCTCCAAGGTTTCCAGGTTGAGACATGAGGATGAGGCAGCAAAGGAGGCTGAGAAGGTGTGGCCGGTGAAATAGGAAGAAACCCAGGTGAGAGTAAAGAGAAAGACAAGTTGAGAAGGCCTTTCAGTAAGGAGGGAGCAGTCATCTGTGTCAAATGCTGCTGATGGGTCAAGGATGATGAGGACTGAGAATTGACGATTGGATCTAGAAACATGGAAGTCATTGGTGACCTTGAAAAGACCTGCTCCAATGTCAAGGTGGAGGAAATACTCTGATTAGAGTGAGTTGAAGAGAGAATAAGAGGAGAGGAGGTACTGAGATATGGAGCACAGACAACTCCTATGTGGGGTTTTGATGTAAAAGAAAGATGAGAATAGGGGCCTAGAATGGGTCATTCCAAGCTGGGCACGCTCTTATGCTTGTGGAAATGGTCCAATGGAGAGGAGGAAAGGTGATTATGTAAAGAAGAGAGGAGAATCTTGCCAGAGGGATGTCTTTGAGTAGGTGGGGAGGTGCAGTGCACCACTGGAGGGATTGTTCCCTGTATCTGGAATAGAATGCTGAGGGGGTGGGTACCGATGCAGGTAGGTAGCTAAATGGGGTGGTAGGAGTTTGTGGACTTTCCGTTTGATTGCTTCTACTTGCTCAGTGAAACAAGAAGGAAGGTCATCAACTGAGAGTAAGGCTGAGGGAGATGGTGGTGAAGGTCAGAGAGGGAGCAGGTGTGAAATCATCATTCAAGAAGGACAGTGGGGGCACCTTTCAAGACTCTGGAATAGTAACAGGATCCATGGGCACCAGTGGTACCCACTGGAGGCCAGTGATCAGGAATCAAATGGGCAACCAGTCGGTGTGGTTATGTGGACTTTCTGGCTTTGTTCAGCTGTAAAGGTGCAAGGGGGGGAAGCAGACAGAGAGTTGGATTTAACTGAGGTTGGGATTTCTCCAGGAAAGTACGAAGGCAGAAGAGAAAGCAAGGGAGATGAGAGTGTTTAAAAGGAAGTGATCACATTGATGAGCCATGGAATGCAGGCTGGGAAGGAGGAAGTGGGGACATGATGGAGGGTGGGGAGGGACAGTGAAAAGGTGGTTGGATCAATGGGTTGAGAGTTCTGGGGGACAAAAGGGCTATTAAAATTGAGGTAATGTGTGATCTGGGAAGAGAGACATTGTAATGAGGGAGGGAGCAGTGAGTTATGCGGGACGGCCATGGGAGGAGTAGCTGGGGTAATGAAGACAAGATCGCCGATGAAGAGGAGGTCGAGGAAGGGAATGGAAAGGACGTCCATGTGAGAATGTTCATTCACTCCAATATTTTTGAGCGGCGACTATGTGCCAGGCACTGTTTGGGCACTTGGGACCCATCAGTATATGTTGCAAGCCAAACAATTTACAAGAGAGTAATTGTGGAAAGAGTGACAGCGAGTCAAGTCCAATCTGCTTCCTCTCCTTCTCCTCTTACACAAGGAGGAGCATGAGGCTCAGAGAGGGCAAGTGACTCTTCCAAGGTCACACAGGGAGCTAGGGGTAGAGCTGGAACTGGAATGAAGGTCTCTAGCCTCTAAGAACAGGGACTTTGATGTATAAAACCTGAGCTCCTGTAACATGACAGCCCTAAAAGGATCGTGAGATTCTGTGTACATTAATATGGGAATAAACAGCATGAGCTTCAACAATGATGACCAAGAAGATGACAGACAATGCTCCCCAGGAGCTTCGAAATGACACAGCAATGTCCCCACAGACGTGTCCTGCAGAGATTTAGAAGTCTATGAAGTAAAACAGAATTGCAGAACAGTCAGTTCCCAGAAAGCACAGTGGTTTCTCTTGCTGCCAGAACTTTGCACATGCTGTTCCCTCAGCTTGGAACACCATTCCCACCACTTTACACGGATAACACCTACTCATACTACAGGACTGAGCTTCTCATTACTTCCTCCACCCCAAGCCTGGGCCAGGGGCCTCATCTGTCCTCCCACAGCCCCCTGTACTGCCCCACAGTCAAAATTTCTTTACACTGTATTGTAATAACCTGTTGAATTTTCTCCACCACTAGAATATAGGCTTCCTGAGGGCAGGCTTGGTTCCCTGCTGAATCCTCAGTGCTAAGCCCAGGGCGTGGCACACAGTGGTGCTCAATAAATATTAATTGCAAAGATGAATAAATATTAAACAGGAGTGATAATGCTCTCAGTATTGGATGATGTTAATGCCCAACCAGACCCCTTCATCAGGCCAGAGCACCCATTCCCCAGAGACTGTAATTATTGGCCGTAAATTGGCTAAGAGATGCCCCCTTGTCTGAAGAATTGCCCTCAGTTGAACTGGATCATGGGCTCACCTGCATCCCCATCCCAGGATCAGGCTGCAGTTGATGACTGACAGATCCAGGGGTACAAAAGTAAGCCCCTGAACCTTCAGACGGAACCATCTCTGTGGTGGAAATCATGCTCCAGGAACCACCGCCCATCCCCCATCCCCCATCCCCCATCCCCGGTCCCCGTCCCCGGGGAATCAGGCCACATGCAGGCTTAGCTCCTCCCTTGCCCTGCCCTGCTTCCCTTACTCCCCTTCCCCTGAGAGCAACCCTCAGTAAAATAAATCACTTTTTCACGGATCCCTGTCTTAGGCTCTGCTTCTAGGGAACCTGACCTAAGACATCCACCTTGATGGCCTCGCTGAAACTAAGATGGAAGGATGGATGGATGGATGGATTGCTAGAAATTGCTTTAACCTCCTTCATTGGAAACATATGGAATCTGAGTCCCAGGGAGGCTTGATCCAGCACACAGGCCTCTAGGACTTTCCCTGCCTCCCCTATACCCACCCGCATCTGAGGGTACTCAGGGACCCCAGCCCCATTCCCCATCCCCACAGCTCTCTCCCCTCCACCTCCACTTGCCCCTACAATCCCTGAGGACCTGGCAGGCATGCTATCCTGGAATGGAAGATCTCCATGCTCAGAGCCCCAAAGCTGGGCTCAGGCCCTGGGGGCTCCTCATTCAGAGTGGGGCCTTTTTCTGGAGGGCCTTCAGAAGCTTCTGGGAAGCCAGCCTTTTCCTCGGTCAGTGGGTCTGAGTCAGCGTCTGGGCCAGATGTTTTGGTCTGAGTTGTTCCAGCTGGGAAAAAAAACAACAAAGAGTGTTAAGCAGAAGATGGATTTTCCCAGGGAAACTGTTTTCTTTTTCACATTCTAATAGTAACAGCTTACAATACTGATCTCCTTCTATGGGGCAGGCATTGTGCTAAGCTCCTTACTTCTGGTGTGTCTTTGACCCTCAGAACAACCTGAGGAGGCAGACAGATCCCCATTGTATAGACAGGGAGACCTGGACTTAGAGAGGTTACGTCCTTGATCAAGGTCACCCAGCCAGTGCGTGGCCAAGCTGGGGTGTAGACTCAGACCATCTCAACACAATCATAGAACCTTGCTCAATTCCAGGCCCATGAGACCTCAAGCCTTTTGACATGCCACCCCATGCCCTAAATCCCTGAGACTGAGCCAGCCCAGGTGGGTCTCTGCGCCTGACAGCCTGTGCACCTTGTCACCTGATCACATGCAGAGAAGGGTTCCCCTGTCCAGCTGAGTGAGTGGGCAGCTTACCTTTCCCTGAGCACTTGTCTCGGTTGGGTTTGGGAGAGTAGAGTGAACACAAGACTTTCCAGGGCCCGTCATGCTGGAACGAGGCTTTCTCCTGAGTCACAGGGCCTTGCCTCTGCCACTTTAAGAAAGAGAATTTGAGCCCAGGAGTGGGGGAAGTGTTTTGACAGGGCCTGGTCACAGGCTTGGGAAGTCTCCCATTTTCCTGTTGGGTCCTCTCTTCCATCTTGGTTGCAGGGGCTGGAGAAGCAGGAGGGGAAGCTGGGCGCAGCTGGGCAGAGGATGCTTGTTTTGGTCCCGGATTGAACTGGACTATATTCTCTGAGTCTCCCAGAGGTCCCTGTGTCTTGGAGGGAGCTGGCTCTTCTGAGACACCTGACCCGAGGCCAGAGACACAATGCAGTGGGTTTACAAGGACGCTGAGGTAGGGCTCTTGGGGCTGGTGCTCTGAGTCTTGGGTGGGAACTTTATGATTAACCTTTCTCCTCAAGTCACAAACACAGGGTTTCTCCCCCGAACTTGCTGGCTTCTCACAAGTCCATTTTTCCAAGGAAGGCCCCCCATTGGCCCCTGAGAGAGGCAGTATCCTTTGAGAGAAAGGGATTTCCTTAGTTCCAGATAGCTCCTCCTGTGCGCCAAAAGGAAACCCACTGGATGTCTCCACCTCCTTACTGGGAGACCCTCCTTGGTTCTCTTGGGAAAAGTCCAGGAGAGCCACATAATCTCCCTCCAAGTCCTGGCTGGCCACTTCGTCCATCCTGAAGCCCACCTCCCCAGGCCCAGCTTGCTCCACTTTGATGAGTCCTGGATACTTGTCCCCATGTGTCCTGCCCTTGCCCTTGGCCAAACTCTGGGCAAGCAGCACCTGGCTGCCTGCGGACCTGGCCTGGTGCAGCTCTTGGGGGCTGTTCAAATCCAGTGCCTCTAATTGAAGGGATCTCCACGCTGGGGAAAGGACATTTACTGCTTGGGGTCTGTCATCCACAAACTCTGGGCTGGTTATTTTGGTCCAGGGCACAGGGGCAATCCCGTCTTCTGAAGCTACCAGGCAGTTGTGTAGGGGACTGCCCTCAAAGTCACTGTTGATGGCCTCCAGCCAGGCTTGGGTGAAAAGTATAGGGTAGGATGACTCAGGAACAGGCTTCGTGTCCACTGTGTGGAGGTCCACAGAGAGGCACTTGACCATGATGCAGACGGACTGCTCCTCCCGGGGCTCAACTTGGAGGTAGAAGTCACCTTGGCGCAATAAGAGGGGGTTGAGGGATGCCAGGTGGACCACAACCTCATCCCGCAGGCACAGCGGCCAGCCTTCATGCAGGAAGAGGTGGTGTGAGTAGGGGGTCTGCAAAGAGAAGGGGCTGGCATCAGAGAATCTGGCCCTGAAAACCCCACCCATGGGTTTGCTTCCTTCCCTCTCCCAGAAGGAACCCTGAGCGGGTCGGGGGCTCAGGTGAAGCAAGAAAGGTGCCTAGGACACAGCATCCAAGGAGGCTCCACTCTCAGCATCCTGCAAGTCACACAGCCCCAAGAGGCAGTGCCTCCTTCAATGTTGTGCCTCCCACGCCTCTTGCTCACCTTAGTCCTGGCCCTGACCTTGAAAATACTTGCTAGCCTACTGGGCCAAAGGAGAAAAGCTCTGAGTGCCAGGCGCCAGTTAGCAAGCACCTTTCCCACGAGGATAGTCCTGCTGGCTCCCTTCTCCTCTCCATCTATCAAAACTTCTCTCAAGCCAGCTCAAGCTAAACCCTCCCCTTTAGGGCCAGGGAGACGTGGCTTCCAAGGTCTGAATCACGAAGTTGTGCAAATGACTTAACTTCTTTGAGTCTCAATTTCCCTATTTGCAAATAGGAATAATGATACATAGTGGTATTATTGGGTTGGTATGAGGATTAAGTTAGATTATAAATACATTTATGTTTTTTTTAAAAAAACCAACACAATGCATAACATATAATAAGTAGACATTCAATAAATATTATTTCCCTCTCCCTTTGACAATATTTACCTTTTGAAAAATTGTAGGATTTTCAATCTTTAAAAAAGGTTACATACTGCCCTTATTATATTCTCTAATTTGTAAAGTAGAGAGATTACAGAGTGAAGTAGAAACACTACTAAGTGAGAAGTTAGGAAATCTGACCCTGCCACAAACTTGCTGGATGGCCCTGAAAATTCATTCTGCTCTTCTGGGTCTGAAATTTATCTGTTTGTTTATTTATTTATTTCCCATTAGCAGTTAACAACACGGCAGGTGAGGCTAAACAATAAAAAAAAATTTTAAACAGAAGGTGCCAGCAATTCTCTACATAGGTAGACACAGCCAGTCATCCTGGGGCCTCTCCAGGGGGCTGTCAGGGCTGTGCAGACCCAGTGTTCAACACTGACACCATGTGGCAACAACAGAAACAACAGCTCCACCAGACTGACAACAGGTCTTACTCTACCTGACTTTTGGAAAAGAGTCTGGTCTGATTCCTACAGATTGAATAAGCCCTGGATAATCTCATATAATTTGGATGTGTATATAGGAGACCTCCATAGGGTGACACTAAACTTCCTGTTAATTAAGCAGGTGCTTCCTGGAATTATTAATTGGGGAAATAATGTGATCTGACCATACTTGTACCTACCATGTTGATAAACCAGTTCATTTCAGTTACACTGCAGATTCGGCTGTCTCCAAGAAGCTTCATGTCCATAAACCCCACGAGTCTGTGTTACTCCAGGCTTTCCACATAGCCTTCTGCTGTTTACAACATCCTTTCCGTCACCTTCTCAGTGAACGAGACGAAACAGTCCAGAGGTATTTTGCAAATAGCAAAGCACCATAGAAATGACTGTTACGATCATCTTACTTGACTCTCAGTAACTCAGTGGTGCAGGCAGTTCAGGAAAGTTCCTCAACTTTACAGATGAGGAAACCGAGGCTAAAGAATTGCCTCATGGTCACACAGTTGAAAAGTAGCGAAAGCAGGACTTGTGCCTAGACTTTCACGTTTGGAGTCGGCTGTATCTGTCCTTAGTCCCTCCAGACCTCATTGATGGTGGCTGTCTGTCTGGGTGCTGGTGGTTATAAAGGCAGACTTTGAGGCTGGCACATTCTTATTTCAGAGGGAGAAAGGAGACAGTGGGAAAGTAACAGCCAGTAGCTACTGAGCAATTACTTCATGCCAGGCTCTGGGCTAAGCTGTGTGTATCATCTCGGTGAGGTACATACATCCTGTGTTATTAACATTCCCACTTCCTACATAAGAAAACTGAAGCTCAGAGAGGTGACATAGATCCCCCAACTTCATAGTGATGGAGCCTGGATTTGAACTTGGGGCATCTGACTCCTGAGGGCATACATGAATCCCACGCTACTACCCCCTGCTCTGAGACGACACGAATTCACCTATAATTATGATTAAAGTTAAAGATAATTGGAAATAAAGAAGTCTAAATGTTGTGACCCTTGTCCCTAGAAGAAATGGGGAAAGAGACAGTGCAAATGCAGTTTTAATGGCCAAATAAAGGAAGCAGGCATTTGTACAGCTTGTCAGGGAGAAGAAATAAGGATGGAGAGGATATGGCTTAAATGATGTCAACATGGATATGTGGAAATTGGCTGCAGTGTTTCAGTGAGACTCTTCCTTCTCCTAAAAGAACAGCAAATGTGTATGGAGCTATTTCTGTGGGTCAGGCTCTGTGCTAAGTAGCTTAAATGAATGATCTATTTCCTTCCAGTTCCAACCATCTCTAATTCTGGCTCCTAAGCCTGAACTTTTAGCTGCTACATTCAATTTCTTTCTATTACTAAAATGACGCACACGGTCCCTCTGCTTATCTGTCCTCCTGATGTGCCAGGTCCCCGACAGGCATGAGCAACTCAGGAAAGGCTAGTAGGACCTAAGATGCTGTTAGCGATTCTTGACGCTGGGGCAGTAGGGGTGGGCACTGAATAGCAGAAGAGTAGGGCAGAGTCAGCAACTCTGTGAAGGGTGTGGGTAAGTTCTAGCAGTGGGCATCTGAGGCTTTGGTCTCCAAAGGCCTCTCCCCACCCTTTCTTAAAACAGTCTCCACCCTCTGAGCTTAGAGATAGGCATATGACTCAAGCCTCGCCAATCCTGGTATCCCATTCCTCTGGCTGCAATAATTGGTCCAAGCATGGACACAGGATCCAAGCCTGGCCAATCCTGGTACCCCATTCCTCTTGCCACAGTGATTGGTCCAAGCAGGGACACAGGAGCCGAGCCTGGCCAATCAGGATCCTTCCTTGTGATTTTTCTATCTGCAGCTGAAGGGAAGGAGTTCATTTTCCTCTCCAGAGTAGGATTTTGATCCTAGTGCTGCCCTGGGCTCCAGCCTTGAGAAACACCTAGCCTGTAAGAATGATTCTGGCAAGCAGTAGAAGCAGAGACAAGAGACAGAAAGAGTCCTGGAGGAGTTTGATCAGCGGAACATCTCGGGCCTTGGTCCGGATCACCCTGTCCTGGTCTGAGTAAGGATCTGTCGTTTGCAGCAAGTGAGTCCTGCCTAAAACACTTTTCTTTCCCCTTTGCCTCAGGAGAGGCCTCCCTGAGATCTGGGTTGAAGGAGTCTCCAGGGAAGAAGTGAGAGTCCTGATGCCACAAGGGCTCCAGGGAAGGTCTAGGACATTCTCTACTATTTCCATTGAAGCTGCACCACTTCAGCCAAGACAGCCAGATGATGCCCACAATGCCAGTTCCTGGGGGGCCAGAGAACCCACAAGGCTGGCCTCCCTCCCTGTTAGTCAAAGTGCAAACGTGATTGACTCCTAGATGTCAGAGGGTAAAGGGCCAAGTGACCTTCCTGTCCATTTGTGGGGCTGAAGTGTTTTTTGGAGAAAGCAATGATACCTGAAAGCCATCCCACGTCCCCAGTTCATGCCCTTCAACAACACACTCACCAGCCCACCTCCTTCTCTGCTCACCTCCAGCCCCTGGCCTTCTGGGAGAGCTTGTCCCCTGGTCCCACATCCCTCTGACTTACACAGGCTGCTTCGCGCACTTGTTCACACAGGCGCTTGGCAGGGATCAGGAAATCCAGGAGGAAGTTCAGTCCATCGCCCCGGAAGTCAGAATCCAGGAGACGGAACACCTGACCCAGGATGGTGGGTGCTGTGGCCTCAAAAGGGGGATAGAGGCCCGCCAGGGCATGCTGGATGGCTGCATCCAAGGATGGGGGGTCCTGTGGGGGACAGGAGGTGAGGATGAAAAGTGATAGTAGCGATAATAATAAGGGTAGGGGCCACTTCCTCTGACCTTCCTGACCTCAGATAACTAAGGCTCCTGCTAACTCTGAACTCCTCTGCTACACCCTCCCACTCACACACCCCCTTCAGCCACATTGGCCTTCTTTCCTGTTCTTCAAACATACCAGGCACAATCCCATCTCAGGGCCTTTGCACTGGCTGTTCCCTCTGCCTAGAATACTCCTCCTTAAGACATCCTCACTCCCTCACCTCCTGCAGATCTTTGCTCAAATGTCATCTGCTGATCCAAGGTGGAGTAGAGGAACAGGGGAAGGCATCCAGGTCAGGGCCAGAGGGAAAGGAGAGGTCAGCATCCCCAAATGTCACCACCTGGCTGACCTGCAGACCTGCACACCTGCAGTTTGAAGCTGAGCCACCAGCAAAGCCCAGCCTAGATGAGACAAGCCCCAGTCCATATGCAGACACATGAGTGATAATGAGTGATTGCTGTTTTATACCACTCAGTTGGGGTGGTTTATTACACAGCAGTAACTAACTGATACAAGTTGATATGATTGATGCGAGCTCCATCCTCATCTATCCAGGATGCCTCCTCTAGATGTTTATGGGGCACAGACCATCAATACATAAATCTAACTCAATACCCTCCTAAGCTTACCCTTCCCCCCACATCCCTACCTTAGTGATTGCCTCCCCATCCAGTCAGACTCCTAAACCAGAAATCTGCTCATCATCCTGCCCCTTCCTCCTGCCTCCCCTGCCCACAGACAACCCTCAGCCACATCCTATACAGTCTTCTCGCCTCCATCAGCTCACCAACCCACTCTCTCTGCTCTGTTCGCCTGCCCCGCCCAGATCCAGGCCCCCATCACCTCTTCCACTGAATCACCTCCTCACTGTTTTCCCTTCTCTAGTCTCCCTGCTCTCCAGCATTTCTCCACCAGGACCCCAGGGTGATCTTTCTCAAATGCAAATCTGGCCTTGTCAGTCTCCTGCTCAAAGGTTCGCCACTGCCTTCAGAAAGCACCTGGCCACACCTCCAGCCTCACTGCTCTCCCTAGGCTTCTGCCACTATGACACACACGTTCCCTCCCTTGCCTCCAGGACTTTTCACATGCTGTTCCTTCCTCCAAGGATGCCTTCTACTTCCATTCCCACCAGGCTAACTCCTTGTTCTGCAAGATCCAGGTCACCCCTCATCTCTTCTAGGAGACTTTCTCTGATCTCCCACTCCCACCCTAGCTGGGTCAGGTGTCCTCATTTCTGGGCTCCCATGGCAAATCCCATGCTGATTTTTGTCTCCCTCGGTGGACCCCGGGCTCCCTGAGGACAGGAGTGGTAAGCAGAATAATGCTCCCCACCCCCCAATGCCCACATCCTAATCTCTGGAACCTTACATGGCAAAGAGGAATTAAGGTTGCAGATGGAATAAAAGTTGCTAGTCAGCTGGCCTTAAAGTAGGGAGATTATTCTAGATTATCCAAGTGAGTCCAATCCAATCACAAGTGTCCTCAAAAGTAGAAGAGAATGCAGAAGGGGCGAGAGTCAGAAGGAAAGGTGACTGTGGAAGAAGCATCGAGAGAGGCAATGCTGCTGGCTTTGAAAACAGAGGCAAAGCCAAGGAATGTGGGCGACTCCTGGAAGCTGGGAAAGGCAAACAGGTTCTCACTGAGAGTCTCCAGAAAAGAATGCAGCCCAACAGCACCTTGATTTGAGCCCAGCGAGGCCCACGTTGGACAGCTGATCTATTGAGCTGCAAGATGACACATTTACACTGCTGTAAGCTACTAAATTTGTGGTCATTAATTTCAGCAGCAATGGAAACTGACACAGCCGGCACTGACTCCTATTCTTCTAGGGTTTTCAGTGCCTGGCACAATAAAGGTGCTCAGTAATGTGGAGGGATAAATAAAGTGTCCCTCTCTGAACCACACCTTCTCCATCTGTAAAATAGGCAAGTGGGACAAGGCCAGAGGGTCCCAACCAGGTGTGGTACTACGGTCCAAGGGTTGTGATTTTCGTCTCTTAAAAAAGCCTGATGAAAGCCATTCTGGTTGCCCCAGACTGGCTGCAAGTTCTGAGTCTATCTATCGCTGAAGGATGTAAAGGAAGATGAGAATAAACAAGAATCCAGCATAAAGGGAGCTTATTTAGAACAGAAAAATCACTTTTTATAAATAAGGCCCCTGGAGACAGGGAAATAAAATAAAGACTTTGAGGGAGAGGAATAGAGCCTGTCTCCATCCCAGAAAGATTCTAATGCCAGGAGGCTGTAAAATCAGAGACGCTAGCCCAGGGCATTTAGACAAATGTTGGTGTCACTGCTGTGTCCCCAGCACCCACACAGAGCTGAACACAAGGTAGGCCCTCCATCGCTATCTATAGAATGAATATATGAATGAAGGAATGAATGAATGTCTACAGCCCCCATTCTGAAGGAAAGAGGGTCCTGGCACCGTCATTGGTAAGCCCAGACACAAGGGTCACCCCCATAATAATGACAGTTTCTAGGTGCCTGCTATTCACCAGGCCCTCTACTCACATTCTCTTTCTTGGCCACACAACCATCCTAGGGGCAAAGTAGGAACATCCCATTCTGCAGATAAAGAAACTAAGACTCTTTATCTGGTCCAAGATCACAGAGAAGGGGAGAAAGACAGAGCCAGGATCCAACGCAGGTCTGGACGGGTCAAGTCTACCCTCTGCCTCTGTCCCTGGGTGTCTGCCTTGGGGCCACCACCAGCCACCAGCCTTGGAGGCGGCCTTCTCAGCTGTCTATCCTGCACTGCTTCAAGTGGGGCCCAATAATGACGTTTACCTCTCACAGACCAAGGCTTGCAGCCTGGAACGCCTTGGCTTTTGCACACTGGCTCAGCTGGCCGCACACTGTAACCATATAAGGGGCAGCCAGTAAAAAGGAAGAATGTTCCAAGTCAACGGGACTCCGAGCTCTTGGCCAGAGCATTACCTGCTACAGGCCTGAGCCCCAGGGGCTCATAAGCGGTCCAAGTATTGGGGGAAGCACACGGTGACGAGGCCCAGGCGGCTGCAGGGAGGAAAGCTGGCTCCTCTCCACTCAAAATCAAACGGGCAGCCCAGCCTGGGACCACAGGAACCCAAACACCATCGGCCAGACATGGGCCCCTCAAAATGATTTCCGTGAAACTTAATCGACATGTTTCCATTCCTCCCCCATGAGTGCAGCCCAGCCGGGCCTTTAACTGTTCCTCGACAGGAGCTGAGGCAGGAGATGGTGTGAAGCTGAGAAAGAAGTGGGTGTCACAGGCCAGAGCCAGTCTGAAGCCCTTCAGCCCCCTCCCGTGCGACTCAGGGCCAGAGATGGAGCCCACCAAGGGGGCTGACACCTATATGATGCTCACAGACCTTCTGGACTGACCCAAGGAACCTTGTATGGTGCCAAAGGGCACAGAAGAGTGTCTGTTCCCAGCAGTCCTGTCTGGGCAGGGGAGGAGTCGGAGTACAGGTGTTTGTAAATTTCTGATCAATGTCTTTGCAATGAGCCTCTATTATTATTGCAATCTTAAGTCTTATCAAGTAAAATAAACAAGTATGAAGTGCATAGGTTGATGCATTTTTACCTCTGTATGTACTGTTGGAACCACTACCCAGATGGACATACAAGACTTCCACCACCCCAGAAAGAAGCCCCCTCCCAGGCCAAGCCCCCAGTCCAGCAGTAACTACTCTTCTGACCATTGGAATTGAAAAAAAAATTCCCATGCAGTGTGATCTCCACTGTGTAAAAGTGTGTGTAAGCCGAGAGGCCATGAAATAAAGTGTTAACTGCAGTTACCCCTGAGGGCTGTGAGGGACAGGGGCCTCGTAAGTCACAGTTGCTGGATTTTCCAAACGTCTGTTACCAGACTGTAGAGCTCTTATAATTGGGGGTGGGGATATAAAAGTGTGATTGTGTGTGTGTGTTTTTAAGTCTGGTTCCCTTTTTAAATGGTCTCACCAGATGTTGTTAGTTGGGCCTTCTGAGAGGTGGGCTGAACTCTTCTTAAAGGTCCAGATTTATCCATTTACTCCAACAGGCAAAGATTTTAGCATCATTTAGCATCGACACCTCCTAGCTTGGGAAGAGAGAGAACTGAGAAAAGCTGAGGTAGGCAGTGTCCTAGGGCTACTACCTTCAACCCCTGCTCTCCTCCGTGGCAGAAATGCCTAGGAAAGGTGAGATTCCACCCTTGACTCACTGAGTTATCTTAGCCTCAGTTTCCCCATCTGTAAAATGGGACCATTGGGCTTATCTATCTCTAAGGGCCCTTCCAAGTGGGGCCTTTCTAGAATTCAAGGTACAATCAGGTTCAGGAAGGTCTGGAACTGGGATGGTTCCCAAATGGGATCAGTTAAACCACAGTTGGTGAGAAAGTTTACAAAGGTCTGTCTCATCCATCTCCCTACTCAGGTCCAGGGAGGGTCTAAACCAGCAGCCACAAATACAAATGCCTACAGGGGCCTGAGAGTTGACATGGAAGATGGAATTGGTCCAAGTGTGAGAAAATAACCCCTCTAGCCCCTTGGTAAGTGGCCCCTGACAGTCGGCCTCAGTGTCAGGGAAACAATAGGGAGTGGTGGGGCCTGGGGCACACACCGCATCTCATCAGCTCCAGCCAAGAGTTGCCTTTGCCCAGCATTGCCAGGTCTATTGAAATTTTAGTAAAACCTCCCCAAATTTTAAAGGTTGGCCAAACCAAACACATCTGTAAGCCAGATGCAGCCCAGTGGGTGTCAAGCTGTGACCACAAGGCTCAACTACCGGGGGCCTCCTCTTGAACTTCTCCAGGCTGGAGAGTCTAAACCCAGCGTTCTGCTG